CTCTCTCCCTCGCCCAAGGTAATTCAATACCAGTAACGTGGTTTGTAATCTTCACGCAGCGATAAAGCGCCGTGCTTCGGGACAGAGGAGGCGTTCCACAATGCTACCTTCATGTAACGGATCGTGGCGGCCGCCGCCAGTGGAGCTATCCAGGAGCTCCAGGAGATCGCCCCGCAGAAGCTCGCTCCTCCCCCTGCATCCGCAACGATCGTGTTATTCGCCCACCAAGTGGCTGTCGTGAGCGATATAACGACCCGTGTTTCTTTTTATGCGAACCCGCCCTGTCATGAATTGTTTACAACATTTTAGGCACATTATCTTTATGCTCGTCTTGAATTGTTATTTGTGTTGTTGTTCTTTCCTTCTTTCCTGCTAAGGTGGTTGAGGAATCCCGTTGGATATGGGATTTCGTAGTCATACTGTACTGTACTAGGGTTTTTTTCAGCTGCGTGGTACGCGGTTCACCTTGCTTCTCTGTCGTATAAAACTAAACGTGCGTTTCTCTGCGCTTCTGTCTCGCAGGAAATCCGAGCGCAACGGCGAGTGCAAGAGCGCCGAGTACAAGCTGCACCCCATCTGCGCGCAGCGCACCGAGGACGGCCGGCTGCCGGCGTGCCACACGCTGCCGGAGAAGTGCAAGGAGGACCGCACGTGCCGCACCAAGCTGGAGCGCTACGTGCAGGCGTGCGCCGTGGACTCGCTCATCAAGCGGTGCGCGGGGCCCGTGGAGGACTGCCGCATCGCCATGCTCGGCATCATGGGCACGCCGCTCAAGATGAACTGCGCGTGCCGCGGCACGGACACCATGCAGCTGTACGACTGCCTGGGCTGGCAGCGGCTGCTCTGGATCAACCCGTGCGTGGAGGAGGCCAAACAGGAGTACCACATGCAGCTGCTGGCGGCCGAGCGCGGCGGCAGCGTCGTGTGGGGCACCCTGCCGCCCACCACGGCGCTGTCCACCGTGGTGGTCAACACGACGCCCGCCGTGCGCTACCGCGTCGTCACCGAGGCCAGTAACGTCATCAACGGCAACGGCAACGGCCACTCGCACCGCGCCCACCACGGCAACGGCCACCACCGGCACACGCAGCCGCCCGCCGAGTACAACCAGGCGCAGCCGCCCGCCGCGCCCGCCACCCCGCCGCCGCCAACCGTGGCGGCCGCGGCCGAGGCCACGACGACCAGCACGAGCGCGCCCACCACGACGGTCGCCGCCACGGCCGCGGCCGCCGCAGCGCCGCCCGCGCCCAGCAGTACCACCACCACGTCCACCACGACGACCACCACCACGCCGCCACCCAGCACGGCGCTCGCCACCACGCCCACCACCACCACGACCAGCACCACGCCGAGCACCACGACGTCCACGACGACCACCACGACGACCACCACAACGACGACCACCACGACTACGCCCCGGCCGACCACCTCGACGGAGCCGCCGAGTGAGTAGAACCCCACCTTGTACCTTATACCCATCCCCAAGCGCCGATCGACGACTAACTGGATCGTTATCTTTGCAGAGTACTGCGTCCTGCAGCGCCAGCAGCAGACGAGGCACCTCATCAAGGAGGGCTCCGGCATGAGGGTAAGCCTGCTTCGCAGTGCGGC